ATTGAGTTACATGATGTAACATTTAATGTTCTTTGTAATATATCTTAATTTTTGTTGATCAATAATTAAGTAATTACGAATTTTTTGATGAAATGGTAACAATATCCTGTTGGAAAATATGAGGAGAATATGTTAAAAAAGGGAGATAGTGTTCGTTATCTACTTGCTAATGCAGAGTGAGAAGGAGGTATGAAAAATCAGAAGCGCGTGATGGATCCCACATTCAGTTCAAGCATTCATAAAATTCGCAAAATTGTGATAACAAAGAACAAACCAGTTTTATATTATTTAGATGGAGAATTTTCACCAACACGTGAATTTGTACGTAAAGAATTAATGCATGTAAATATAAATACGTTTCAGTATCCATCCCAGAGTATATTAAAAGAAAATACTCATTCCAGGTCTGTTAATTTTATCTGCATTGTTAATAAAATGACTAATGCTTAGGCTTACGCTGAAAGATGAGGTGAATATTGCATTGAAAAAACTAGTCAAATAAATGATTTTGATGTATATCTCTGATCTTGTGAGAATAGATTACATCAGTTCGAGTATCCGTTAGAAATTTTAGAGCAGAAATTTGAGTGGTGCTCACTTTGTTCACATATCCATGAAAGAAATTGTCAATATATTTTTGAGGATCTACTGGGTAAAAAATTTTCACCATGCGCACCAAAATTCTTGGGTGAATTGAGACTCGATGAGTATAATGAAGAACTAAAATTGGCGTGAAAGTATAATGGTGTTCAACATTTTTATCGCAATAGTTTATATCACAAAAATCAAGGTGATCTAGAATCACAGAGGAAACACGATCAAAAAAAGCGAAATATATGTGTTCGAGAAGGTACAGATCTTATTTGTATCCCATTTGATTGTGATTTATTTTCCTATATAAAAAGCAAATTACAAGAAAGAAGTTATTTATCTTGGCTAGAATAAAAGATAAAGGTATGCCCATATTTGTATACAACATCGACGAGACATCAAACAAATCCTTAGAATGAATGAAAGGTAATAAATATTCACCAGAGGGTCCATTCAGATTACTGATATGTGGAGGATCCCATAGTGAAAAAACTAACATAATTATAAATCTCATGCTTGGTAACAAACTACAACGCATGTTCAAGAGAAAAAAAGGTGAGCAGTATATTAGAAATTATAATCTTGTATTAATAGGCAAGTATTTTGAGTTTAAATGACAACTTGTACAAAATAGCTTTCAGATCTTTGTGAATGTTCCCAAACCGTATCGAGAAGATGTCACATTTAAAAGGATATCTCCAGATAAGATTCCAGATATAAACAAATTCTCACCAGATCGAAGTACAGTTATTGTATTCGAGGATCTATGTGCTGAATCAAAGAAAGTGCAAGAACGAATTATTCCTTATTTCATTAGAGATTAACATCAAAATATCTCACCAATATATGTGAGTCAGAAATATACACAAACACCTAAAATCATCTGCAAAAATCTGAGCCATCTTGCACTATTTCGAGAAGCCGGGAGCTGAGATGACATTCATAGAATCATGCGACAATATACGGATAATCCGAAAAAAGCATCAAAGATTATTGATAAGCATTTGCAAGATCGAGAATTTGTAATTTTCAATTTTACTAAGCCAGTTGATGTTCCTCTAGCAATTAGACAGGGCTGGAACACCCCATTGAAATTAGATGAATAGGAACAACCAGCTTATTAATTAAGTAAAATTTTTTCTCAAAATATAGGTAGAATATCATAGAACCCAATAATTCAAACAGCAAGCATGGAATCTATTTAATTGAGATGTGGTATTATAACGATCTACATATCGGAAAACTCAAAGAATTGGGGATTATATAAGCAATCAGGCTGTTAGACATATTTTTTATATCTAATAATGTATGAAATTCTTATCGAAGTTGCAATATCAATTTGGCTTCCGTTAACTAAAGGTTAATGACAGGTATTCAAAAATGTAGTGAGTCTGGTCTCATCTCCAATATCTAAAAACTTTAACGAATTCCCTGGTTCATGAACATATGCTAATTTATCCGTAACATCATTACCAATAAGGGCATATTCAACTTGATTACCAGAGTAAAATTTTGGCTTGAATCCACTTGCTCCAATTATGATCATCCCCAATAGACACCTCAAACATCCTAGACGCACAAACTTGTTCCGCAGGTGCTCCATAACCCCCAGCTCTTCTTAGGTTTGTACTCCATTCCTGCCTCCCAAGTATCCTTTTAACATGAAATGGCAAGATGGTTTCCGGAGCCCCTGTATCGACCACGAATGTATATTTTTTGTTGTTATTCATGGTATCGTAAAAAAAATAGCGATCAAATTATTTTCGTTGGGTCTTCTGATGCGAATCCTGATCTTTATTTAGAGATCAATTAATTTGAAAAATTATACAAATTCCAAAAACTAATCTTATAAAAGATAACGCTTCTCATTAAGTACGCATTCAAACCTTGTAATCATCTCCACTATTAGCGCGCTGAGAAATCACCATCTTCGCCGGCTTACTACGTAGTGGCAGATGTGTCTGATCAACCGGGTGTTGGATGGCACCAGGCATAGTTTCGAGAACGTAGTCCAATTGATCATCGCTATACTCCTTTCCATACTCTACTACCTTCTGGTTGTGTACCGTCACCCACTCGTTTTCATGTCCCGTAAATTCACCTCTATCGAGTGCGTTGTAGAAAAATATGAAGTTTAACCCGACTTCGTCATCAAATTCGAACGCAACGTCAGCGATTATTCTGAAGGAATGTCTTCTGAGATATTCTGGCATGGAGGAGGGCCATCTGAAATTCTTTCCCATGCGAGCTATGATAAAAAAAAACATCAAAACTTTACTACATGTATTGCCACTATGCTTTCATGTATATAAAGAAACTTTTGAACTGTACCGAGAAACCTTTGTGCCTGACCAGGCTTGTGCTCATATTTGAGGAGACTTTGAAGCGTTTCGGGTGGATTTTGTTCCTTCATTATTTTAAATAGAATGAAAAGTCTAACGAGGCGTTACTTAATATTAATGGTTTTCACAAAAATATGTGTTCATTCCATTCATTAAAGAATTACCCAGCGAACAGAATCAATATAGAAGTCGCGCCAATTATGCCAATTGTGCCAAATATGAAAAGGAATGCAACGAATGTAAATAGAAATATAAGAGGGGGAACGCTAAAGCAAGGTAGTGGATTAGAATGCAATCCGGATCTAATTCGATCCGAACCACATGATCTTCATAAATCAGATTATCGTTGTTTTTGTTTTTTTTTTTACAACTGTTTTTACAAGGCGGGAGGGAGGGAAGTTATAATATATTACATTACTACACCACACACACTACACCATACACATTATAATTTGCATTACCCACACTACACCACATTACACATTATAGTTTGCATTACCATATTACATATTATAATTTGCATTACGCACATTACACGCACTGTTCTACGCACATTACACTATATTACACACATTGTTCGCACTACGTACTGTACGCACTACACACTGTATGCACTACGTACTATACGCACTACACACTATACGCCCTGTTACTATATATATTATAAGAACTATATAATTCTATTGCAAAATGCAACAAGCAATGACAAATGATGAGAAGCGTGCATGTTTTTTTAATATTAACAAAACGTTTGTAATTTCAGAAAAAAAATTTAATGAGGTATGATCACTCATTTCAAACATCTGGGTATGATATAATAGCTGGAAATGTGCTAATAATAATTCATGGATTGTATATGCTTGTCATTTCACCAAACATTACGAATCAAGTACGCGAAAGGAAGGAGTATCAACGGAAAAACGAAGAAAAACGAGCATACGCATTGCTGACCAGTGTGATGCAAAAATAAAGATTATGCACATTACCACAATACAAATGGTCCAAATTGAACGCTACAAAAATGCCCCTGATCATACACATCAAATTGATAGTAATGACCGGATAAAGTGTCCTGAAGTTATTAGACAGCTAGTAATCAATGAAGTGAGCAAACCGTACACACCACCAGCAATTGTTGTTACTGTAAAAGAGCTTGCAGAGAAAAATAATCTTGGTGCCATCGCTCAAAATTTGCATCGAACTGAGGTCGCAAATATCCAACGGAAACTACGTGAACCATTAAAAGCCTATCTCATCGGTGAGTCCAACTTAGAATCTGACATTCAAAGTGCTCTCAAGCTTCTAGTCCGCAATAACTATCGTATCGAGTGCTTTATACATACATATACACAGAAAAATATAAATGATGCTGTACAACGGCCATCTGAAGGTTTTTGTTTTGCAAATTCCGGGCAATTAGAAAAATTGCGACTTCATGGATGGCTTACGTTAATAGATTCCACACATAATACAAACAAACATTTATGGCATTTATTCACGTTATATATTCGTGACAGTTGTGATTGTTGGGATGTTGGTGGTCACTTCTTCATAAGCGGCGAGGATAGTGATACGGTAACAAAAGCATTAAAAAAAATTCGTGAGTTTGCACCTGGTTGGCATCCTCGATATATGCTTTGCGATCAAAGTAGTGTTGAGATAAATAGTATTACCAATGCTTTTCTGGGTATTACGTGTGATGAACAGAATTGTGACATTATTCTCTGCACAGTTCACATAATACGTACATGGCTGCGTACAATTTATCACACAGCAATGCGTAACCAAATGATTTTGGCAATGCATAAAAGAACAAGTATTGGTTGTGAGGAAATCATTTGTGAGGCTATTGCTATGTGTCCTGTTCCTGACATTGTTCGCTACATTAAACGAAATTACACCAAAAACACAAAAAATTGGACGCTTTGGTCACGTCAATATTCTCCGCTGCTTTTACAGGTTACTACGACAAACCCACTAGAATTGTACCACAGTGAGTTAAAAAGAAAAACCGCAAAAGAATATGGTCTAATAGGTAAGTATTATCCTATTATCATATTCTTTTCGCATTTTTCTTCTCTTATTTTTTTTTTTAGGAGCATGTCACAAAGTAATTGAACTTGATGACAAGCGGCGGCTGGATTCTGAAAAAGCTGCCTTTAACTTTCGCCAAAAATGAATATCTATAGCTGATCTTGACTAAGGATGCTTGCCTAAATTCTTTCAGAAAAATATCATCATAATTTCTACGGGTTACACACTAATTGTTAATTAGAATTTCGACATAATTTCGGTTACGACGGGTTTCAAAATTCATCAGAATTTTGACGGGTTATTTATTAATAGTTTATTATAATTTCGACAGAATTTAGACAGTCACTAAGAGATTTCGGCAAGCAACCTTAATCTTGACGATGAAGTTCTCGAGCAGGTTCACATGCTCTCATACCCCATTCAGAAACTGATTGGAAATGAGATCGCAGCTATGAGCATGAGGATCATAAAGAGAAAGCCACCACCAAGTCTAACATCGCCAGAATGTCATTGCATATTTTTTTGCCGTTATTTGCTTCCTTGCCAACACATTCTTCATCAACATCTCTTTGGTCCTAATCAATTGTTAACAATTGATGTATGGGAAGAATTCCAAAATATGTTTGCTGAGACTGGTTTTGAGGTGTATGAGCACCGTGAAATGATTGAGGTGTTTGAGCCTGTTCAAACTCTGGCGGAGAGAGAGGCAGAGATGCGAAGGTTGCAGGTTGGTGAATTTATGGAAAGGGTTCAGGACAAGTATTGGGAAATCGAGAATGAAGGTAATGCAGACGAAACAAAAAAATTTATTGCATGTTTAGATAAGTCGCTGGGTCCAGTTTTTAAGATTGC